GAGGCCATGGTTTCAATTTCTGGGACGTGGTTTAAAATCAAATTAACTTCTTAATGAACCCTTAATTTTTTTTTAAGAGTAAATTGGAGCTTATTACCTTTCCAGGCTCTTGCTGTGACTCCTGCTTATCTACAAATAAAAATAAAATTTTAAGAATACTATTTAAATAGGGTGAATAATGGTATTATCTCCAGTATTTTTTATGGTCAGCTGTTTTACATAGCTTCACATCTGGCCTCAGTTGTTCAAAAGATTGATAAAGCTTTCCACTGGATAGTGCAATAAATTGATTTTCCTAATACTTATCCACTAGATAGTGATTTATCCGTTGGATTGCCCTATCCAACGTTTTAATAATCTGAGCCTGGACTAATATGCCCAACATTTTGAGCCCAGTAACAGTGAGTACGAACCAAATAATTTGGAAAATTCAAATTTTTTCCAATGTATGAGATTCCCCAATATTTCATAATTTTGCTGAATATGAAAAAGAAAAAAATAAATAAAAGACCAGCCAAACCTCCCGTAGGTGACCACCCAAAATGAGACGATTTAGCAGTTGCTCACAAGAATTATTGGTTGGTTGCTTACAAGAACTGAGGGGGTCTCTTCCAAGAGCAAGGTCTCAATACATCTGAATTTTGGAAGAGAATTGATTGCATGTAATAATAATAATTATTATTTCTTAGTTATAATAATGTGCAGTTCAATGTTTCACTTTAAATTCTTTGTATACACTTAGCTGTGTAGAGCATTAAGCAAATAAAAAGAAAGGGGGGGGGGGGGGGTGGGGGGGTGTGAAAAGGGGAAAAACTTTGTCCAAAAAGGTGAAAGGAAAAGGGGGGGGGGCTTTGGGGGGGACCGCCCCCACAAAAACACTGGGGGGGACGCCTCTCCCCCCCCCCCCGGGGAGAAGTTCTGATAACATTCAAATAATTATAGTTATTTAAAAAATAAATATTATAAAAAAAAAAATTATTTTTTTTTTTTTTTTATAAATGTTTATTTTTTATATTTTTTTTTTTATTTTTTTTTTTAAGACATGGGGGGAGAAAAAAAAAAAAAAAAAAAAAAGGGGGGGGGGGGGGGGGGGGGGTGAGGAGGTGTATGAAAGGGGTAACATTTCTGTCCAAAATTGTATAAGGAAAAGGGGTGGGGCCTTTGGGTGCAGCCTCCCAGCATAAAACTTTGTGGCATACCCCTTCCCCCCACACTTAGGGTGAAATTCATGAAGCTCTTCAAAGTTAGTAAATTACGTTCCAAGGTCAACTTTGTCTTGGTGACCCTGGTTATAATAGCAGGGTTGTCAGAAAGATTTGAAGTAGACGGCTGAGTTGTCAAAGTAAGCGGCCAGTCTAGGGATATTTATTTAAAAAACACTGTTCGCAAAGAAATGCCAAGCAGAGTAGCCAGCTGATACTAACCAAGTAGGCAGCGATTTTTGCCAGCAGCCGGCTTCTTTCAACAACCCTGAATAGTCGTACTGTAAAGATGTAAAGGGGTATTTGTAGCATCTGGGGGCAAGAATGGGGTCAACTCATGACCCCACTCTTATTTAACTTACATCCTGTTGGGCCTTTTCCCATATGGTCCTTTCCTGAGAGGACTCCTTGGAAACTGTCCCCAACTTCAATGGTCTCTCTAAGAATTTGTTCCCAGGAGGGGCCTCTAATGTACCACTAGCAAACTGCATAACAACTTTGTTCAAAACACTCTTTAAATGTTCCAGATCAATTCCAGTGGAAGAGTTTTCTCCTAGCTGCTTGTTTAGCTCTACTAACAAAGCAGAGCTGAGTCTTTTAAGTTCCGACATGTCATTACCTTCTTTTACAGTGGGGTTGCTTTCTCCAGCTGAAAAATGTGTATGGCTGGTTTGAGAATTATCACTCACTGAATTAAGCTGATTGTCCTCTTCAGTGGTATAGTTTATTTCCTTTATTGTTTTCACTCTTTCTAAGGCTTTCTCAAGTTTCAAACGATAGCTTCCTTCCAACTCTTTAATCTTGTTTTCAAGTTGATTAACTTTGTCTTTCAAGTTCACTTTTTCGCTGGCCAGTTCTTCATTTGCTCTTTCCGAAATTTCTAACTTTTCTTGAAGGTTAACAATTTGGGTTTGCAGAGCATAAGAGGATTTCTGGTCTTTTCTCTGAAGACTACGCGATTTTATCTGGTAATCCTCCAAGGACCTTCTTTCTTCGACGAGTTCGTTTATTCGATTTTCTCGGCGCTGAAGCTCTTTATTTGCACAGCCAAGTTGATGCTCAAGTTTAATTACAAGATCTTGTGATTCCTTTCTCTGACTTTCAAACTTGGATCGTTCATTTTTCATCAGCTTTAGGTCCGCTTCAAGCGCCTGAACAGTAGCTTGACTCGCATCCAAGCGCGCTTTCACGAGCGTATACTCGCGTGTTGATGCGGTTGTCAACGCAGAGCTTACTTCGCTTAATTCCACTCGCTGCTTCTCATGTTCCAATTCTCTTATCTTCTTCTCGCTTCCCTGGAGTTTTCCTTCCAGGGCAGATATGTGACCTCTCAAAATATCCATACATTCTTTATCATTGCGCCTCAGATCTTCCTCTAATTCCAACCTCAGTGTAAGTGCCTTGACCTCTTCGGAGAGCCTTGCCTTGTCCTTCTCAAACGCCATTTCCTGTCGCCTCAAGCGAAGAAATTCTTCGTGCCATGCCGAATCGCTCCCGCTAGAGGCATCGCTTAACTCGGTTAAACTAACATCGGCTTTTTTTAAACCCTCAAAGCCGCCTGGAAACCCATTTGAAATGGGGCAATCTACTCCGTGGTTTGGAGATCTCACCAGGTCACGTCTGTGGAAAGGCAGATTCCATCCGCCTAAAAATAGCGAAGGTTGTAATAAACTATCGTCGATTGTTAGTTCGTCGATTTTGGAAGGCAATCCGAAGGAAAACCCATTGTAGCTTGCCGACCGTTTCATGGCCATTCTTTGCTTTTGGCCTTGACTTGACATGACGGCCAGATAACGCTAACGGAAACTGTCCCGCTTGTGATCCCCGCTTGTAACATTCATGTGGAAGAATGCAGAGCACAGAAAGCGAAAAGGGTGAACAGGGGAAGGGAGGGTAAGTAACCTCATCAATTTTTTTTTCAATACCCCGCCGGGCCGTGGTTATGGGAATACATACAGCCGTCTTTTAGTCTCTACGCGCTCCTCTATCGTGGTTAAAAAGAAAAAGAAAGAAAAGAAATTTTGTTTTGGGGAGTTTTATTTGCAGAATGTCCGTAGTCACGTGACCGTACGCGCTTCCGCCAATCCGTCCTCACCACAGGACAACCAATGTGACACACTTATTTTCTAGCGTTCATTTTATTGTCAATTGACAGCTGTCAAAAACAGGGTGTCAACTGACCAGGATAACACGACTGCATCACAAGCCCAGGTGCCAATTCATTAAGGTCACTGTTTTTTGTAGGTTTTTTTGGTGATCAGTTATTAGCTTTAATATTGACCATAGGCTCTAGTTTATGCTTTTCAGCTAGTTCTCAAGTCATATTTGCATGCATAAACGGAGACTTCACTTGTAGCTCTGGCTAAATCTATAAATTAAAATAATACGGAAAGGTTATGATGGAATGGGCATTCTCCCTCTAGAACAGGGTTCGTACTCTTTTGAGCTCTTGAAATTCCACGACTTTCCCAAGTTTTTCATGACCATAGGTTTAGCCGCCACATTAAAAATTTCCCTTCTTTTAGGGCATTTCAGTGACCTAACTCAGTACAACAGACAACTCTGGTGTCCACAAAAATGCGTGCCATTTGCACTGTTTAATAACTTGTCTCTGTCTTACATCGTCCTTGCTTTAACATCTGCAGCGACTAATCTAACAGACAGCTTTAATTTTCCATGACTAAAATTGTTGGTCCCGGAAAGGAATTTAAAAATTCCATGACTTTCCAGGCCTGGAAAATGAAATTCTTAAATTTCATGACTCTCCAGGTTTTCCATGACCTGTAAGAACCCTGTAGAACTGTTTCATCCACAAAACCTATTTTGTGCCACCAACTGCTCACCTCACCTTGGCCTGTTTCTCAAGGATGTGGAAACTTTTCAGACCCAAAGGCAAATTTTAAAATGAAAACCTATTGAATATCAGCAGAGTTCCTTGCGCACAACCAGTCAATTTTGCCTCATTAACTGATAGTTTCATTGTATCAGATTTTCAAAATTATTGAAACTTTGATCCTGAATACAAAGATGGCAAACACTAAGCAGCTTTCTGGGCCCAAAGAGTTACCAGGGCTTTCGGGAAACAGGCCCTTGGACAGGACAAAATAGAATAGGAAACTTTCCTTTCCTCAAATTCAAGGATGAAACCATGCCAAGGCCATAATGCACTATTTTCCTTTTCTTGATTTATTTTTTTTGAGGAGAGGAGGGGTGGTTGTGGTGGGTAGCAAAGGGTCGGTACAATGTATGTAAAAAAAATTGGACTTACCTCCCTAAAAGCTAGTACGAGTTCAATCACCTCTTTATGCCTTTTCCTTTTTAAAGTATTTCAAAGACACCAAGTAAATTACAAAGTTCTACACGGTGATAAACTGTTTGGTACAAACAGTATTTATCATAATTTCTATTTCAAGAATGCAGATAATTTTGTTTTCTTTACATGTAGTACTAGTTCTTTATCATATAATCACCAATGAAATACAAGGTGAGCTTCGTGCCAAAACATACCTTTACATGTGACAATAACTTGTTTATTTTAACAGGTGTCTATTTTTGCCTTGACTAATTTTTTTTCTCATGGTAGCGAACAATTATTTGTCTCATGATTCAGTCACTCGTGATGTTGACCATGATCTTTTCTTTAAGGCAAGAGTATTTATATTTTTAGCTCCAGTATACTGTATCATCAGTCAAGTCCAAATACATATAGTTTATGCTCACTGAATAATGGGCATCAACACTTGCTTAGCACAGGAAACATAGTACTGAAATTTGTCCTTGTCTGGATCAAAGTCTTCCACATTTAACTCGGTATCATCATAATCAAGAGTATCAGATCTGAAGTTATTACATGTTTGATTTGAACTTAACTGGACGATCGTTGTGTGACTTCTTGTCTTTGTTTTTGATGTGATGGCAGCACACCAAACTGCAGGTTTAGAAGAAGCACAGATACTCTTGACTGCTGCCCCAGCAGTTGATCCAAAAGCTGGCAGGGATAGAGAAAATGTTGCTTGCTGGCTGTCTGGGTGACATTGGTAGTAGCTTAAAGCACTCTGTGTCAAGGATCGCAGGTTTTCATGGCTGAGTCTAGCCACTGACTTAGCAGTTACAACCAGTTCCAAAGTTTGATGGAGTTTCTTGATGTTTGAGACTCTGATGGCAAGAGGAATATCACTGTTAACGTAACTGGCTAGTTGCCCCATGGTTGCCAGCTCCTCGTGCATGAAGTATTGAGTGTAGTCTCTGGCAAGTTTCTCAGCTCCAATTTCTACCAAGCACCTGATAGCTGCGTCAGGAGAAAGGAATTGCTTGGCTTTGTTTTGGAGCTTCTCTTGGTCTTCTTTGGTCTCAGACTGTAGCAGTTCCCTGGCAAATACAGCTAGGGATGTCATGTTTGAACTGTGAAAAACAGGTTGACATTTGCCACTGAAAAGAGCTCCATTGCATATTTTTAGTGAAGAAACGAGGTCATCTTCATCAAGGCAGTCTTTCAATATGAGCCAAAGCCTTTCAGAGAAATCCAAATCCTTGCGAGAAAACTCTTGGAAGGTTAAGTGAGCCATCGTAGCATCAGCAAAGTTAGTTTCTTCATCATGGTTGTCTTTATCCAGTTCTTCTTCAACTGTAGGAGAGAATACATTACTGGAACTTAACTTAGCAATGAAGTCATCCATTTGACTTGACACTGGGCTTGCATTCAAAGCGTTTGCTTCAGGCCATGGTAAATTTTCATTCTCTAAGATCTTGGAGAAGAGATCAACTCTCTTTATTTCCAAGTATAGAGTATGAGTGGACAGATGGACGCTTCCAGGAATGCTCTTGATATGAAGAACACCATCACATGAATGCGGATGAGGTTGTAGTAGGGATTTAACCCCAGTCCATGTCAGCTCCACAGTGATCTGACTATGCCCACATTCTTGATTCTCGGATTGGAGGGAGCCCATAATCTCGTGAAGGGCATATCCCTGGATTTCCACAAAGGCAGTCGGCGCACTTGATGAGTGATGTTGGCGTAGGAACAAACTAAGCTCAGGCAAATCCTCCTTCCTTGTTACTGGTTCACTTTTACTTGTAAAGATAACATGTCTCATGAACTTGGCATTGTGATTTTCAGAGATGGCTGCAAGGTATGATATCTCTTGAGAATTGTTTCCATCTACACATACCCATACATCTACACGTTTTAAAGAACCTCTAAGGGCATTCGCGTAGAGGGAAAGGAAATACCTCGCTTCTTGTAACGAAGTTGGATGAAGGTTTTCTGCAGACAACAGCCATTCGGTCACAACTCCACGTTTTTCTTGGCTATCCTCTTTGTTTATTCCCGTGTAAGATTGTAAAGGTTCGCTGTTTGTGAGATAAAAAAGTTCTTGCGACAGAGGGGTGCCCACTGGAACTCGTTGAATCTTGTACCGTGCCAACTGGGAAGTTTTATCTTCAAAACTCCTACCAACGAGTAGAAACGCTTCTGGATTTTTTCCAACGATTCTTCGTAAAGGATGGAATGTTCTGGGCGGTACAAACCAGACCGAAAACTCGTGCTGCGAATCGACAGTAGCAAATTTAGATTCTGTAACTTCTGAAGGAGAGCAGTGCTCTAAATTCGTTAGAATTTTTGTCAAAGACTTGACATCTTCGACAAAATTCTCCATCTTTGAAGAAAGGCGGGAAGAAGACCTCGTCCCCAGGGTCCTCTCGTCGTATTGGAAAAAGAAAAGATCCTGGGGGACACCTCCGAAATCCGCTCAAAATATCTTCATGTAACATGTAACTATGTGTCACTCAACATAACTATACACCACTCCACCTATCACTGCACTACAAAAACGAGGAAATAAAAAACCAGCAATGTATTAAGAACACTCGTTCTAGCATTAAACAAAAGCTGCAGAAAAAATTTTCTCAAGATTGGTTTAAAGCTCAAAACGACATTTCGGATAGCTCTCTGGACAAAAATATACAAACAAGGAAATTGAAAAAGATTATCGCTCGGAAAAATACCTAAAGATAGTTAGAAATCCAGCTCATAGAATAAGTATAACTAAACTCCGATTGGGAGTTCATACTTTACGTATACAAACAGGGAAATATGAAAATAAAAGAGCTTCTATACCAGTAGAGGAAAGGCTTTGTTTAGTTTACAAAAGAATCTGCATAGAAGACGAGAAACATTTCTTAATTGATTGTACTGAATACGAAAGCCTTAGACAGCAACTTTATTTTCATATTTCTGAAGATGATGCAACCTTCATCAATTTAACAGATCATGATAGAACGTTATATTTACTTAGACTGGACAATGACAAAACTTCACATATTATAGCCAAATATGCCCATCTAATGTTTAAAAAAAGAAAACAGTTCCTGAGTCAAAAATCCAATTGATTAGGTAATTAAATTATAGTATAATTATCATGGAAATAGTATATGCCGTATAATTTTGTTGTTTCCGTTCATATTTCTTTCTTTTTAAATTTGTTGTAGTTGAAAAAACCTTTATTGTAACTAGACCGATGCCTCCCTTTGGAGAGTAAGGCACAATAAAGATATACTATACTATACTGTCCATCACTACACGTCACTACATATCAATTTGGGAAACATTTCCCGGCATCAGTTTCCGCATTCATTTCCTTGGATCAGGATACGGTACGTCGTTAAAAAGAATGAGATAGCCAGATTGCTTAATTTCACTGTGCCATGTGCGTCGTACTGGATGGCTACTTGCGCCAACAATTTTGCCTGTTGGTCGCTCATTTTCCAGTCTATTGCATTTTCCTTGTCGTCTTGCTTTCTGTACTGATCACAGTGATCATTGAGACATTTAATCCATAATGGGAGTCTGGTTTTGTCACTCATAAACGCCATAGTTTTGTCGCCATCGTTGTACAGTTTGAAGTCGATGTCTTCGAATAATGCCTGTTTCGATAATTTTCCTCCAACTTTTCCTCCTGGCATTAGGTCTGTATAAGGTGGGTCTTGTGCCCTTTATATAGCGTACGTGATTACCTTCTAAAATGTCGCTTACATCACTTACTTACTCACTAGCATACTAAGCGCATCTACGATGGCGGACGACGATTACCGCCATTACCGCCATTACCGTCGATTTCATTCATAGTGATGGGTAGTGATGCGTAATTATGGTTGGTGATGTGTAGTGATGGATAGTGATGGGTAGTGGTGGGCAGTGATGTGTTGTGATGGATAGTGATGGGTAGTGATGTGTAGTGATGGGTAGTGATGGATAGTGATGAGTAGTTATCGGTAGTAATATGTAGTGATGTGTAGTGATGGACAGTGAAAGGTGGTGATGGGTAGTGATGCATAGTTAAGTTGAGTAACACATAGTTACATGTTACATGAAGATATTTTAAGCGGATTTTTTGTATTCGAGTAGGAGAACACAGATTTATTATTTAGTCCCCAGGGTTCTCCCCCCTTGGGCGGACAGTTAGTCCCCAGGGCTCTCCTCCCTCTCAGTCAATTCATTTTGGTAACGTATCCGAGGCAAACGGGCGGGAATCATTTTCAAATTTTCGCTTGGACTACGTGACCCGAAACGCTTTGGCCACGCGGAATAATTAAATAAGACGGGCATGCAGGCTGCTGGCAATATCATTCATGAAAAGAGGGTGAATACTTGATCTTTACTTTAGCAGGCATTTGCAGTCCCGACAGTTTAAAAAAGCAATATGTTTTTTTCCTGTTCAAAAAAAGCACGAACATTTGGAACACAGAGCAAGTCTTTTTGTCCTTTCTTTGCTGACTAGGGATTACTAGTGGCTATAGTTCGATATAGGATATAGTTCTCTTCTACCTACCTCACTTTATATCTAGCCGGATGTTTGAAAACGTTACTACCAAATAGACTTCTTTCGTCAAACAGTTTTTTCGGCCAAAAACTCTCAAAAGTAGCCATTATAAACCTAAGAGTGCAACCATTCCTTTTTTTCTCTTCTTTTCCTTTCGTCCTCCTAGCTCTTTCTTTTTCTCCTTTCCTTTTCCCTCGATATTGTGATTCTCGAGGTTTTTGGCGCCAAAAACCTGCCTTTTGACCCTTTTTCACTTACATGACTGTAAATATCGTTGGGTTCGCTTTCAAAAAATCGACTAATAACGACTCGAAGTAATCGGATGAAATTCAGGCTACCAATGTACATGTTGGACTGAATTAATGAGAGACCCCATGCCAACCTCGTTCCCGGAAAAGCCCTGGGGACAAGGTTGGCCCAATGTCTGTTATGACGATGACGAGAAGAATAAAATGTGCTTCCGGGAAATGAAAAAGTTTCCGTAAGTTTGCAATCATGAGAGCTTCTCCCAGTCAAAACCTTTAAGTCTTTTGGGTGATTTAGCTGTTGTCCTTTGTATGATTGTCCGTAAAAGCGAGATACCCGCAATGGCATGGCCAGGCGAATGCTGACTTTAACAGGGCAAGACTCGCCAGCCCACCAACTCAAGTTTTGGAATACACTCAAAGAAAGTGTATACTACTCGTAGCTAAGAGATCGATTTCTTTCCTTCTTCTTTCTTTTATTTCACATAACTTAAAAGTCTTGAAACGCTGCTGATATATAAAGTTCGCTGTACTAGCGAAAGAAACTCCATTCTATATATAATTCAAAAGCATTTTGCTTAACGGTCCACCCTTCATGCCTCTGGGGACTTTAATAAAACTTTGGTCGCGGTTTCAGTAGCAGAAACTGACCAATCAGATGTATTTCCCGAGCGGCACGGGAAATATCTTGATCTTCTTCACGTCTTATATCAGAGTTAGACTATTCTATCATGACTGTAAGCTTTTCTTGAACAATTAAGGAATATCCAGTTCCGGTCTCTTCTGGAGCAGAAAACGTTGAAAAGTTTTTAAGTCTGTTTTCTCATGTTTGCTGACCTTTTGTTCAATTTTTAATCTTTCTTGGCGTCAATGAACTTCATTAAAAGATTTTGATTTAATCGTTATGACAACGTTTCTAGCAGTTTTAACACAGTCTTCGTTGAGCACTGATTGTCCCGGGCCATAGTTCTTTAAAAAAGTGCGATGATCCTTTCCCTTTTTTAAAAATATTTGTTATACATTTTAGCGGTTTAACAAAAGTTTAGTCTTTGAATGGTAGAATTTTAAGCGTTAATTGCATATGAATAGACATCAATAGTATATGTTTTTATTGTTGTACCGAACACAAAGGCCAGTAAAACTTGTGAAAAATAATCCAACATGCGCATAATCACATCTTGGTTAACTTTGGTAATGCTACTTTGCATGTGCAACACGAGTATTTCTCGAGTTGGAATGAATTTTAATCGAGAAACTGTACAAAACGAAGACGCTTTTTTTGACTTGATTGAACTGTTGTTTAGACAGCTAACTTACACTGGGAGGACCAAACTCATCTCAACAGATCGCTGTCATTTCTGGATTGGATCAAATGTCGAAGCAATCGGATGAAATTCAGGCTAATCTTTTCGTTCTTTTTAGCGTTTTAAAATGCCATGTCCGAAAACGGGTGTGAAAAATGACATTGTTGGTCCGAAATAAGGTCAGGATTTGTAGAACCGGACGTCACAACCCCACCAAGAATTCCCAGGAGTACCTCCCCCGGGAAAATACTTATAAGTTAGAGTACACAAGAAAATGTATATTGTAAATATTACAGTTCCAAAGCAATTGAAAATTCTAGTTTTTATACCAAGTACTTCATTTACTGACCTACAAAAAAGAATAAAAACGCAACCCTTTTATATCCTAGAGTCAGTAGCAAAGTTTTACATTAGCATTGTTTTCAATTTCTCTTGGGGCGAAAGACCTATTGTCTACTCATTCACTAGCCAGTTTTGTCACCGATTTGTCAACTTTAAATCAGGTCGGCATTTTTTCCTGAATGCGTCTTATTCAAGCGTTAGTTTGATTGTTCATTGATGAACTGAGTGCTGTTTTTCTCAATGTATCGTCAAGTCCTATGCTTATCCACTAGTATACTGTTTTTAACCAATAGGTACGTTATGTAATTGAGCGAGTCGGCAAACTTTTCTCTTTGAATGTGACCAATCTATGCTTTGATTGCCCATTATTGATTACAGAGTACGTGCTTTTCTCACACACAGCTTCAAGAAAAGATTTATCAAAAACATTTCTCACACTGGTTTGAATTTTAATCGAGCGACCGTATAAATGGAGACGCCAATTTCAAGTTGATTTAACTGTGTTTAAAGTCAGAAACCTCCGTTCCTTGCTTTGCCGGCGGTGTAGTGAAGCCCAAATCAGCTAAGCGATCTCTGGTCTGGAATGAAAGTCAAGATTCTCTTTTGCCTCCTCGAAAACAGCAGGTTTGTTCTTAGTTCAACTTTAACTTTTGGTTTCGCTATCGTTTACTTTGTTTTTCTGAAAAAAATTATAAGTCAATTTGAAGAAACGGTGATTAGCGTCCAAATTGCTTTAACGGTTCTTAATGGTTATTTTTGCTGCAGAAAGAAATTAATCTTGTAGACTTCTGTCATAATTCTGTCCTGAGTGTTATTCAATGTGTCGCCCAAAGTTATATACCTGTAAACATGCATGGTTCCTTTGTTATGTTGGCTTGATGAATGTTGAACTGAAGGGACAAAATGTAATAAAGGTTTACGTATAGTCAAGAAGATAAACGCGAGTTGCGATTGTTAGGGTCAAATGGGCCTATTTTGTTTATGTCTATGCAGTTAGAATTTTTCACTTTGATTAAAGAAGTGTTCACTTCTGTAGACTACACTTAAAAAATAAACTTCAAACGTTGGACAGTTTTTATTACCCTGACTCAGTCTATATGCTTTTATATTTGATTAACCGCGACCTTATTAATTAATGTACGATTTGGATGTAAATTATGCTTTTGTGCTTCACAAACAAAATGCCAACAAACCAACTGTTGGCAGTTTTGGCGTGGAGTGCTTAGCTTGTACCGGGAGAGAATTACAATGCTTCCCGGGACGGTTCAGTCTGACATAAGATAACAGTCGATAGAGGGGAAGACAGGTATGAATAAAACGGAAGGTAACGAGAAACCAGTTAAATAGAAAAATAAGCTGAATCAGGTTAATTCGAATTGCAATTTTTAACACGTTAGTACAGTAGTATTTACAACAACAAATAACGCTTTCCATTTTTTAACAGGTACTTCCTGAACATAAAGAAAAGCAGAACAACTTGCCTTCCAAGAAAGTCTTCAAAATAACAATAAAAGTACTGCCACGGTCCTTTACAAGGATATGCAGCCAACTCATTTGTTTGTCTGTCATTTATTCGGTATATACCAAACCTATGGTAAGTTCAGATTTTCCACAACACAGTCGTTTGGTCGGGTCTTCATACAATTTTCCATTGTTTTGAACAGGTTATTATTTAAGATAAGTTTTAAAAACAGGTCGTTGAGGTGAAATAGAAGATCATTATTAGAAATAATAACCTACTGTTTCAATTCAGTGACCATAATAATAACCTGCTGGTTCTAAACCTATGGAAAAGTACGCGCTCGGTCATTATTTTTAATAAAGTCTCGGGGCTACGCAATTAAGCTATATTTCTTTCCATTTTGCATCTTTCATTCCAATAATTTTGATGAGAGTATTGTGATCTCACTGACAATTCTGGTTTGGTATATACGCCAAGACTAGTGCATGTTGTATTTAGTTATATATTAAACCTCTTAAGGTCTGACAGAGAAAAACATCAGAATCTAAAAGAAGTTTACGCTAATGAATTTAGTAAAAAAAAGTTCGGTTTCGTAGACAACACGACACCTTACTAAGAGCTAAACTCCTCAGCGTAAACCACCTACAAAAACGTAAAAGAAGAGTAAACGTATAACTAAAATACACCAAGAGATTACAACAAAATGTAGTCAAAAGGCAATTAGAAACAAACGATGAATAAAGAAAAAGACAACAAAGTGCAAAAGGTAGGTCAAAAAAGGTAAGTTTATTTATAGTCTTCTTTTTAGCCCTGGGGACTAAGTGCTCCGCCCAAGGGGGGAGAGCCCTGGGGACTAAGTGCTCCGCCCAAGGGGGGAGAGCCCTGGGGACTAAGTGCTCCGCCCAAGGGGGGAGAGCCCTGGGGACTAAGTGCTAAGTGCTAAGTATGAACTCCCAATCGCAGTTTAGTAATACTGATTCTATCAGCTGGATTTCTAACTATCTTTAGGTATTCTTCCAAGCGATAATCGTTTTTAATTTTCTTGTTTGTATATTTTTTTCTAGTGCTATCCGAAATGTCGTTTTGAGATTTAAAGCAATCTTGAGAAAATTTTTTCTGCAGCTGTTGTTTAATGCTAGAACGAGTATTCTTAATAGATTGCTTGTTTTTTACTACCTTGTTTTTGTAGTGCCTTTGTATTGTTTCGTCAGTATTTAATAAATCAGAACACTGACTGTGATTTCTTGCTTAAATAAAAGCTTCATATAAGAGAGGGTTGTCTGATTTTTGTTCTAATCTTTGCCAGTAGCATAAAAGGGAGGCCTTTATGTCTATAGATAAAGGGTATCAGCCAAGTTCTGCTCTACAGGCTTTGTTTTCTGCGTACCATGGGACGTTTAATGTTTGTTTAATGTAGTGATGTGTAGTGATGGATAGTGATGTGTAATGATGGGTAGTTATTTGTAGTGATGTGTAGTGATGAGTAGTGATCTGTAGTAATGTGTAGTGATGTGTAGTGATATGTAGTGATAAGTAGTGATGTGTAGTGATTGACATTGATATAGGTGGTGATGGGGAGCGATGCATAGTTATGTTGAGTGACACATAGTTACATGTTACATGAAGATGTTTTAAGCGGAATTCATTACCACACCTCCCCCAATCAATGAAAAATTGATGCCTGGTAGAAACTTGCTACTTTTGTCGTGGTGCGGAGATCTTCGCAGTCGTTCATCGTGTGTGTTTTGTAAATAATGGCTATCTCTGTTCGTTTTTGTCTTCGAACTATAAATACAGATGGCAAACTACAGTTTCGACGGGTATTTAAAAAGTTGGAAAGTATGTACAATTCATTCCTACAACAAAAATCGCCTTTCTGTACCACTGGAAGATTAGGCAGGTGAGTCCATCAAGACGCTTAAGTAATAATATTATTACAGTTTTTTTGTACTCGTACTTCACAGGAAAAGAAAGTCAAAAATCGCTAAGGTTAGTGTAAAAGAGAAGCAGACATCAATTTACCATGGTCTATTCCCTATAGAAAGTCAAAGTGGTCTAAACGTTGCAGTCAAACTATTTTGGCTGCGGCTCGTGTCTCGTGTCCCCTTGAGTTTTTAACTTTTTTGACGTCATTCCTATGTTTTTTTTAGAGAATAGAACATAAAAAATATATTTCTGTTTGTTTTAATACGATAATTTTTTTTGGAAAAATATTGCACACGAGAGACAGGGAAAATTAAAACAAATTTAACCATCATCACGTTATTTTTTGTGATCATTATGGACCACTACGGCTCTCGGACAATCAGCATACAAGAAATCGCTCAGATATTGTAAAAAATGTCTTGGTTTTGTGAAATCACGCCCACATAAGACTGTTCGGGCATAAATGCTATGATTATTGTTATTTGTTAAGCTACACCTTCACAATATATACCCCTTATATTTTTGTCAATCAGGGGCCGGTTGCTCGAAGCTTGGTTAGCGCTAACCGTTGGTTAAGAGGTATCAAAATGTATAGGTTTCCATGGTATTTAACGCTGGTTAGCACTAACCACGCTTCGAGCAACCCGGGCCAGGTAGTTAAAATGCAGTGGTATAGCCTGTGCTCTTTGCAGCTTTTGACTGAAGAAAGTTCTTTTCCAAGTAGTTCATGTAAAAGTAAAAATAAAGTACCAGCAGAAACTCACAAGTGGTTGAAACATGTAACTCGCATTCGATGCTTGTGAATATTCACTTTTACCATATTTGGAAACCTGAGTGACAGATATCAATTTCCAACAAAATGGCTGCCGTGCGATCACCATGCAGATGTTTTAAGATGAGAGTTCTGCATTTCAGGGTTAAAAATACACCGTTAAAAGACAAAAAATGGAAAGAGATAGTTCAAAAGAATGCTCAGCTTTCTTTTTGTGGAAGAAGGGAAGCTTTTCATCAAGAAATCGTCCTTCAAGGAATTCATCCTTGTTTTCTTCATGACGGAGCACATGGTCCCGGGGGGGGACTCCCATATGAAACAGATGGGGATGCTCGTCGTCTCGCTTAGGGGTGTAAATTTTGGATTTTGGTCTCGCTTAGGGTGTTCCGGGCAAAGCGCCAATATTTTAAGCCGCCAAGGTCTCGTTTAGGGTTCTGCGAAGAAACACAGAATTATGCGAAGAGAAACAGAAGTCAATTTTCTTTTTAACTTTGTTTGTTATGTCTTTATATCATTAAAACTCATTGCATGTCGTCTTTGTGTGTTTTTAAGCGGTCTCTTTTAGGGGTGAAAATTTGCTTAAGCCATGCCCAGATTGGTCTCCTTTAGGGGTCACAAAAAGCTTAAGTCACGCCCAGACGGTCTCCTTTAGGGGTTAAATTCAAAATTTCCGACGAGCATCCCCGTCTGTTTCATATGGGAGTCCCCCCCCCGGGCACATGGTCTCTTTTGAAATGCAACGAATGCAGTGAAGTTTTTGCTGAATTTTTAGGTACATTTTGCACTCTATGGCCAAGACAATTATGTTTTTGAAAGGAAATTTATGTATTTTTAAATGTTTCATAGACGTTTTATAAATTTTTCTCTGGATGGATTTTGTGTTGAATTTTGCCATGTGCTCAGCTGATTTCACTTGCGTGAACGGATCCACGATCCAGATAGTGTTTTCCAAATTGCTTTAAAGGATTAACTTTTTGGATATTGAATAAAAATTTTCAAGAAATGGCTTCTCCGTCTATTGTTTTGAGTTTGTTCATTTATGAAATTAGCTCAAAACATGATTGTGCATCCAAGCTAAATTTAAGCTTAAATGCTGCTCACATTCATTACATGCATCTCTTTTCGGTACACAGCTAATGAATTTTATTCGAAAATGTTTGTTACTGTTTATTCTACACTTTTAATGTAAGAATTTTAAAAACCTATTTGCAGTATAAGTTTTCTGTGGAGAGGGTCAATGAGGTATCGTTTTTTGAAGTGACAACTTCAAGAAGTTGCAAGGACGTCAAAAGGTTTCACAATGTTACGTTTGGCCAGGGTGGAAAGGCAATAATATCCTTCTCAGTGTTTCGGTACGATCATTCCTGGTTTCAACCTTTGAAAACTTTCTTGGCTTTCGGGAGTTTTTCCCCCGTTTGTCGGCCATTTTTTTAAGCGGGCGTGGGAACCTGAAGTAAAATTACGTCACATTGTTTATGAAGTTTGATTGGTCAGTTATCTCTTCTTCTCGTTCCAAATATGGTACTTTCAAAAATGAACAATCACGAGGGTCGGACAGAGCAAACATATGAGAGTTACATGTTTCAACCCCTTATGAGTTTCTGGTACCAGTCAATTTCAAAACTGCCCATGCCCCCAACCCTACCCCATCCCTCTCCCTCCCCCCCACCAAGCCAAAAAATTTCCCTTTATGTTCACTTGGCAGTTTAAATGGTCAAATGTCCCACTGAATAGCGCTTCAAAAAGTGTCAAATCCCTCACCCACCAGTGACAATGCAAAAGTTTTCCCATGCGTTCAAACAACCGTTTATTCAAATGTAAATACAGTGAAACCTGATTAAGCGCACACCTTCAGGACCTTCCCAAGGGTCCACTTATTAGAGGGTGTTCACTTGATAGAGGTTTGTGAAAATCGCACAATGTTTGTTAACGATTAATTTTCAACAGTTACTCCGTACTGTGATAAAGTTTCACATTGTTAAGGGAGCTAAGGAAGCTGTGCTGTACTTTGTGCAAGACTTTTAGATGAACTTTTGACAGCTAAATGTATTGCTTTATCTTTATTAATCGACTACAGTACATATTTCAAGGACATAATCAAATACTACTATTGTCAATTCAGTCCTGTGTCTGCTTAACAGAGATTTTCAATAAAAAAAAGGAATTAGCATAGGAATTAGCCAAATACAAGTTCTTTTAGTATCCGCACCCACTTAATAGAGGTGTCCGCTGAACAGGGGTTCGTTATAAAGGGAAATATAAGATGTTAGTTTCGGGACCTTGCTTAATGTCCGCTTACTAGAGCCTTGTTCGCTTAATTGGGGGTCTGCTTAATAGAGGATTCACTGTATTCTACTAATCACTACCAAAATATCTTAAGTCTCAGAAAGCTGTCTTAAAGAGGTTAGTTCATTTCAATAAAATTGTTCATTCCATTTTTATGGCATATCAGCTTTCATAGAAGGAACTGTTCTTTCCCTGATGCAAAACCTGTAATTGCTGAATTCATTGTAGTTAATATAAATATAGAAACTCTAAAGATCTCATCATTTGCAATACAGTTGAAACTCTCCTTGTGACCACTGTCATAAGCAACCAGCTCTAAAGAACTGTGACTCAAACTTTGTAAAAAAAGTGCCCGCAACCACTGATTGGGATTACCCAGCTGGACTTTTCCTTTGTTTTTTAGCTCTCATAAGCAACCACTCAGTCTTGATTCATATAAATCAATGATACTGCACACTGCGCTAATGGTTTGTTGATTAAGATCTTGTACAGTGCTGTGTTGTATTTGTAAAAGTTTACGGTCATTTCCATAGTGACCATTCTGCTTGCATGGCAAAGACCACTCACAGAGCCTATCGCCAACATGAACACCTCTTCAATTTGTGTAGAGACACTCATTAATTTAAACATTATTTCTTTAATTGACAACCCTCTATTGTTTTACCATGCAGTCACTTAGGACAAACCTCCAAGTTAAAGTGTTTGCCTTTGCAAAATGGTGACCAATTCTTTTGGTTTTTTAGGTAGACTTTTTTCCAAATCAGGTTGTCAGCTTCAAAATTTTAGGCACCATGGTGACTAAAATGGTTGCAACTTAGAGGTTTGTTAGGAGTTGAGCTCATTCTTGTAAGCAACCAGCTCTAGTTACGACCACTTTTTTGATTTTATGCGGTGGTCGCTTATAAGAGCTTTGACTATATATATTGTTTTGACAGTGAATCACAAAGAGATGCAATATACCATGTTTTCAAGAATGAAGATGGCAAAGTACCAGTGGCCAGATTTATTGCAGTAAGGGAAAAATCAAAATTGTTAATCAGTTATCAGTGATAATCATTCTAAGTATGTAAGTATGCAGTGCAGCCACATTTTAACTGTTTGGAGGTCTGGTTGGTTGTGAAGGTTGTCTATTGGCAGAATAGTAAATATTAATATCATGTACTGTGGCTTGATTGCCAGAGATCAAATTCTAAATCTTTCAACAAAAGCTAAGTTGGTGCTAGATCAACCTGTATACCAACGTGTTTAAATCTGAAGGTGGTAGACACTCTCTTCAGTACAGAGGGCCTCATATGCAAAACTTTATAAAAGCAAAGTTACTGCACTTTTAAAAAACACATGAATTCTGAAGTTCAAAAGCCAACTGACAGTTGCGGTTTTTGGTGCCGTCTATCACCTTAGGAAACAGAAGTTTGCTTCAACGATTTGTGATTGGTGGACCTAAATCCATTTGTGTGTTTCTCTGTTTCAGGGTTCATTGATTCTGATTGTATTTTTATTCTACTGTGATTGATGGTAGCAAAAAATGCATTCATTTTGTAAAGGTGGCCTTTGAATTTCAGAGTTTGCATGTTTTTGAAAATCGCAGTAACTTCTCTGGAGTCTATTGGTATATTAAAATTAATAAATTAGCCAAATAATTTCTGGTGCCTTGAAAAAAATCTGATAAAAGTTTTCATCCATGAATTTAAGATAAATGAATATTATAATTATTTAGGCTTTAAAAGAAACTGGTTTGAGAGTGAGAGATCCAAGACTGAAGGAGACAATGAGCAAATTTGAACAGTATTTACAGCAAGAGAATTTTGAAGGATATGTTGACAAAGAGACATTCAGAAGGTAAATGCATTGTTTTGATCATGACACAGCCAAGGAAAACAACTGAAGGATGTAACTGAAGAAACATCACTATCCTGCTCTAGAGATAATTATGGAAATTGAAGTTTGCTCAATTCTTGGTGAAAGAAGCATATCCTTCTTTAATCTTTTATCAACATTATTGCCTGTAGTAAGCTAGATCTGGAAACGGGCAGTCAGTCTTGCACCTGAGTGCTCATAGCATTGACTGCAAAGGTGAAAATACAAAAATTAAACACTTAGGTTTACAATTAATTAATTGCCACATTCAGTATAAAAAAAACAATAATTTACTTGAAAGTAATGTTCTCAGTGTCTTATAAGGTCACAGTAAAGTGAAAGTTAGGGACTTGTCAGAAATTAGCAGGGGGGACGGGGGTGGAAACAGAGGGAGGGTCACAACTTTTTGAGACTCAGAAAAGGGAGGGGTCATGAAAAATGGGCCGTTAAAAGGGGGAGAGTCTTGCAAATAATATGCCCGTGATCATGTAGAGGCTCACCCACAGAAGAAAAAGGAAGTTCTTTTTTTTGGTAAAAAAACTTGGGAGAAATAGGAGAGTCAAGTGATCAGCTGTCAAAATGAGAGTCGGACTCTTAATGCTGTCATCTAAAATGTACGTATGTAGCATTACAAAGAACAGATTAGAAATATATTTTGAGTTTTCATAATACTGACTCACCCAGGTGTATTGCAAGAACTAGATTTTATCATTTACACAAGAGGGGGAGGGTGATGATATTTTAGGCCAAGCTCAAGGGGAGGGTTAGCAAATTTCACTCCCATTGCAGGGATGGGTCACTGCATTTCCGAACCCAAATTTAAAGTTCCCACCCCGCCCTCCCCTCTGCTAATTTCTGACAAGTCCCTTTAGTCTTTTATTGTTAATGATGTAATAACTCAGGATTGGTGATGTATCAAAATTTCAGATCCATTCAGGAAAATATAATGCTTATTGAGGGTGCCCTTCATGGGGATTTTGTGATTCCAGAGTTTGGTCAATTCACCAAGCATTTAGAGGAAATATATCACCACTGTAAAGGAAATGCTGAAGGGAAGGTTGGTATGAATGATCTGGTGAAAGTTAAAATGTATATTTCCTACTATCACACAAGCAACAGGCAGATGTATATGACCACTCTGCCATGTGAGATATGGAAAACTTCACTCATGGAGAGAGACAACTACAAGACAGGCCAATCTTTTAATTTTATAGTAGACAACAACAAGAAAGTGAGAATGACAGAGGAAGCAAGACAAGCACTTTGGCTTGCTTTACAGCTTATGAACAAGACATGTACTGTCTTGCTACTGTCCAAGCTGGGATCTGACTAGATTTGACCATGAAAATGGGCAAGAGACAAAGATAGAAAAGAAATAAAATTATGTAACTTTCAATGCTTTTTTTTCTCCATGCTGAACATTACAGTGACACTGAAAAGGGTGATTTTTTGCTTTGAAAGATCCTTTCTCACTTTCCTGTAAGACGTCCTGATTTTTTCCTACATTATGTCATCTGCAAAGCAATTTTATCCCAAGTGCCAAATTTTTCAGTGGCCATTGAATCTCTGTAAGTACATGTATCCCAAATGAACTGATCAGTCCATAGCTAGCAGGGGAGCAAGGGGGGCAGCTGCCCCCCCCCCCCCCCCCCCCCCCCCCCGTGACACAAACACAAAAAAAACCATGTGGGGGGGGTTTTGTTTTTTTTACAATTTTGTTTTTTATTATTAAGAGGCTGGTTCCTTCTTTATCTTTTTTGTGTGTAATTTGTTAGTGGTATCTCTGATCAGTTACATGAAAGGAGAACATATTGTGTTTCCAGTACTACAAATTTTTTTGTTGTGGGTGTCCACGATTTTTTACCACATTTTGTCTTCTGAAAAAAAATTTTTTCCCAGAGTCCAAATTTTTTAGTGGCAATTGAATCTCTGTAAAGAAATGTACCCCAAATGAACCGACCCGCCCATAACTAGCGGGGGGGCAAGGGGGGCCGCTGCCCCCCCCCCCCCCTGGACCTGTTAAGCCAGACACATCAAGTCTGTGGATGGAGTTGTTTTTGCTAGACTCAGTTATTTTGGTTATAGAGACTTGCAATTGTTTGCCATTTTCACATTTGAGGTCGATTATTCGGAGACATATCTCATGACAAGTGCTGAAAATAGCATTTTGGAGCTTCCAAATTTGAAAATTTTCTTGGTGAGGATACCCCCAGTCCCCTCTACAAGGCTCTTGCTTTTCAGTGCTCAAACTAATGCCCCCCCGCCGTTACAGAAAACCTAGTTACCGCCCAGGGTGTGCCATAGCCGGTTAAATAATAGCTACAGTCAACGCTCTCATAATTAACATACACCACTCAAAGACGGACACCTACATGTAGTGCTGGTCCTTGCTGTTTTTCAGCTATTTTATGGTAACTTTGCTCTCTATAAAACCGACAATGGATACTTGAGAAGTGCTGTATGCAGGGAGAAATAACTCCAAATAGAAACGTGGGTGCTGGACATGGTAGTTACGTAGTTGCAAAATTTTTGATATTAATTTTTGGAGTCTTTCCAGTTGTCTGAGTTTTTACTGCCACTCTTTTAGATCATGAATTAAACCATGAATGTTCACTTGCATTGATTGTTTGATTGCACAATAAGAAAATAATATATTTTATTCCACTTTTTGGTTACAATGCTCCAGTTTAAACTGTCTTGCATAAATGAAACACGCATGTATTCATTGTGAATGGGTGCAGCGTAAGTCTCACTGTTGTCACGTCACCTCCACCCTCTATAAGCCAGACCAGAAACTTCTCTAGTAAGACAGTTGAAGCTGGTCCCGACAGTATCCATCTTAGAGAGAAATGACTGTACAGCTAAAAGTATTCATTTATCTTTTAAAGTTTTTATATTTTGTTTTTATTATCTTTCTATATCAAGGTGGCTGATTACATTCCTCAACTGGCAAAGTTTGACCCTAATCTGTGGGGCGTGGCAGTTTGTTCTGTTGATGGGCAGAGGTAAGCAAGGCCTGGTTCAAATGTTGCCTTTTAAAATGTTCTGATCAGAATTTCATATTAATGTGGAAAATATCTTCTTCCTGCTCATTTGCATTACTTTTAGAATGTTAAAAAATTATTAAAGAAATTCCTAAAAAAGAATCAGAAATTTGAAAATAAGAATGTTTTCTTAACGTCATTTTCTTTCTTACTAATTTTAGATCTGGCCATGTTATTAGTTTTGTTCAAAGCCATTCCTCAAACTTTATTGATCATGAGGTCGTAAAATATAGTGCCACTTTCTCATCATAAAAAGATTTTGGTTTTTTTTTTTTATGGTAGAAACTTGACTTTATCAGTTCACAATTGATGATTTTTTTTTTAAATTTCACTCCCGCCAACCCCCTCCACAGTTTCTTTTAAAACTAACCCCTTCATGCTGAATGTTTAACTACCCTGGCAATTGCTTTTAAATGTTAACATGATTAAAAACCATCCTCATACAATCTTTGCGACACTACATTCACAGGAAAAAATAACGGATTCCTGTTTTGGGATATTTTTGGGTATTTAAAGAATACCCACAAAAATCCCAAATTTGGAAGAGTGAGACAAGTCCGAATCTGGGAACTTGGTTGGGAATTCCCTGGTTGGGACTTGTCTCACTTTGCCAAATTTGGGATTTTTATGGGTATTCTTTAAATACCCAAAAATATCCAAAAATGGGAATCCGTTATTTTTTCCTGTGATTCATTGCCAGATTTGCTATTGGAGACTACAAGGATCACTTCTGCCTTCAGTCTGTATCCAAATGCCTTCATTATCCTATTGTTTTAGAGGACCTGACCACAAAAGTAGTAAGTATGAGGAGAATCAGGGAAAAGAGTAATGAACTAAAGACGAGTTGCAGTCAAACCTCCCTTAAGTGGCCAAAAATGCAAAGAGTTATTGGTTGTTTAAGGGGGTGGTCACCTACAAAGGGTCAAAATGCAGGAGGTTTTTTATGAGGAGAAGTCCCGGGGGGGGGATACTTTAGGAATTTCTGGGTAGGGTTGTGCTGCTGGGACCCTGGAACCCTTAACCTATACCAGAGCTAGTTTCGCTGAATTTTGCTACCCTATACTAGAGTAAACTCCCCAAATCCCCCCTATCCTAGAGTAGCTGTTTTCCAGAAACTACTGAGGTCACTAGCACAGTCTAGCCAAACAAAGCCTTATACCACAATCCTTAGTCTAGATAAAATCTGCAACCAACTGATCAGTTTCCTGAAAAATGATACCCTATTCTAGACCCAAATGCTCCGATTTACATACCCTATCCTAGAGTAAACTGCTTGAAAACCATACCCTTCACAGCGGCACATACCTATATCGCCCATATATGGCAGTAATCCCCCTCCCCCCCAGCGTGGGAGAAGTCCAGACACATCTATTTTTGGAGAGAATGTATTACGTGCTATTTTTGGATCAATTTAGGTTTTTAGGAAACTGCCCACCTACCCTTTCCCTAAGTCATCAGTTTGCCCTAAGTGAGAAGTAAGGTTAGTGTTAATGTTAGCTTAGGGAAGGGGTAGGTGGGCAGTTTTCAAGAAACCTAGTAAATGTATTTGTTTTTACTAGTTCTTTTCATACTGTCATACTCTGAGTAGTGTGGTACGTACAGCAAACACAATGGTCAGACGATTGTATCAGGTGTCCGCTTAGAAGAGGTTAAAACCATAATCCTAAAAAAGTGGTCACAGTGTGTTGTTACAAAAGGTGGTCTGGGAAAATTGTGGTGTTTTGAATGAGTGGTTGCTCATAGGAGGTGGTCGTTTCTCAAAGGTGTTCGTGCATAGAGGTTTGACTCTATTTACTAAATACTGTGTGATAACAAAAACTGTAGGTAGCTCAAAACCTCAGGAAATTACCCAGCCAGTGAAATGACCAAGGTCCCTGCAAAGTTTTATACAAATTAAACTTATTTGTTTGTCACCCAATGGCCAAAGTAAGTTGTCAGGTCAAGCTACTCGGTCTAAAACTTTCTCTCCTAGTAATAGCCAATGTAAAAAGTTCCTTAAAATTTCAAATGTCTTTTTGTAAAATCCGAAGAAATAAAATTAATAATACCACTCAAATGGTTGCCAAAGAGTCAAGAGAGGGTAAGGAGTGTGTTCCATAACACCACAGAATTTTGTCCTCAGATTTGAAAGGATGTGACAATTAATTATCCTGCCCTAACTTGGCTTGAGGATTGAAGTGATAGACTACTGCCACTTCTAAAAACAATTTTCAGTTTGTTTAATTATTTCTTTTAACATAAGTTTCATTAACATCAGGCTATCTAGTATCTGAATTTCTCATGCTTCTAGTTTCCTCTAACAGGTTCACAAATACGTTGGACATGAGCCAAGTGGGCAAACATTCAACTACTTACACTTGAATAATAATGGTTAGTTTATAATAATAATATAAGTTACATACATGTATTATGAATAAAAACAAAATCATTTTATCATCTCAACTTCCCCTAGTTAACCCTATTAAAGTGCTTTTATTTTAAGAACTGCTTTGTAAATAGGCTGTGCACAAGGCTGTGCTCTAAGGAAATTGAAGGGGAGCCCAGTGCTCTGAAACTGTAAAATCTAGGGTGCCCAGTATATGATTTGTATGAAAAATCTGAGATTTGCTAGTCGCCCAAGGGCAAAAGTTAGCGCCAGGGGCCACCGGGCTCTGCTAGAGCACAGCCCTGGTGCATATTATTATAACCTAGCACATGAATATATGATTTGATTTATGAATTTCATTGAAACAGGGTTTTTGTTTACTTTTTTTTCTTTTCTTTAATTTCTTATTCTTAGTTTTGTATCATTCTTCAGTATTTACTCTGTAACCTTTTTGCTTATGATATCCTTTTAATCAACTTAACAAAGTTTATTATTATCATAATGATAATTTATCATTAAGTGATATTATTATCATTACATTATCTGACTTCTTTTTGATCACCCTGAAGGTTGCAAACCTTTGGTTCTCCACTTTGGTAGCATTTGCTTCATAATTTAATAAAATTTACTTGTCTACAAATGACAGTGTATGCTAAAAATGAAAAGACTTTCCTGGTTTAAAATTCCTGTTGCAGATCGCCCTCACAATCCAATGTTAAATTCTGGTGCCCTTCTTCTGTGTGCACTTCAAAAGGTATATAGTAATTGTATGTATTAAAAATATAAATTGATATAAATCGACCTATATTAGCGGTATAGATAAGAAGAGCTCATGACAAATCCAGACTGGAAAACTACTTGCTAGTCGTCCTCATAGTAACTCCCTGTTAAAACCAAGGAACTTGGAAAAATTGGCCTTTACAAAGAGGGAAGGGTGGGTGGAGAGCCACAGGATAAACCTATTGGAACGCTGGGTTGAGGAAGCAGTCAAAACAAAGATGTGTCCGCTAGTGGTCACTCATGTTCTGTGCTCATTGACAAAACAGCCAACATTTCGTGAAGCCGCCATTGGTAACCTCTCATAATGACATCTGAGGAGCGTAGAAATTCCCTACTGATGTTGCATCACTACCCAGATCTACGTAGGTGGTGTTTCTGATTGGTTGTGCCACATGGGAAATTTCCTTCAGCTTATCGGAAGTGCTACCCAGATCTGGGTAATAATGCATCATCGGTATGGGATTTCTGTACTTGTTTCTAAGATGTAATTTTGCGGGAAAACCCTTGGTGGCATCACAAAATGTCAACATATTTTCTCAGGCTACTATTGACATTTTCAATGTGAAACATTAGGGAACTTGAGCAAAGACGTTATTGAGCGACGTACATCAACCGGAAGTGAAGCCTTTTCTTGTTTAACATGCATAAACGCTGCCAAAATTTTACTGCTGAGTGTCCTTTCCTTTATAAAGAAGATTTGCTGACAATTTAGGCAAAACTGCTGCCCAAGGATGCAAAAAGCCCACTTCCGGTTAACATGTGTTGCTCAAAAAATAATGTCTTTGCTTAAGTTCCCTATTCACTCTATCTTTTTTTAAAGCAATGACAGGGTTTTTGTCACTAAGGGCCAAGGGCTTGGGATTTCCAACGGCTGTTATAAGCTTGACCCCCAGCTACAGTAGTTTTAACCCTTTAGCTCGAAGAGTGATCAACATCAATTTTCTCCTAACAACTTTAGCAGGTCATCAAGAGTAAAGGTTATGAAAATTATTAAATTGATTACCGAAGGGAATTAAAATGCTTTGATCTTAAAGCAAATTCTCTCAACTATTCTTGAAAGAAATGTATGGAGATCAGTCTGGAGAATTTGTATGTGGATCTTGGGACTGAAAGGGTTTAGGAAAACTAAAGGAAAACAGTAAAGCAGAGACCACAGAACTTTAAAACCAAAGTAATGCATGTTATATTAATTTTACTTTAGCATGTTGATGTACTAAAGATTCTTTTACATAGCCCAAATTAAGTTCTGATGTTGGCCTCACAACCTCTTGTACCTCAAAAAATTATTCTACTTGCAGCCTGAATGGCCGTTAGCAGACAGATGTGATTATGTAAGTATTATGAATATGTAATTATTATGTTTTATATTAAATTGATGATAGTTAAAGGTAACAGAACAACTAAAAGTTTTTAATTCTTTGAAAATTTCTTTTGCAGGTTCAGAACAAATTTAAACAGACAGCTGGAGGAGAATATGTTGGATTTAGTAATGCTACGTGAGTTTGTTGATGCCAGTTTATTTATAATTTCTAGATCTCTGCAGGATCACAAGCCAGGGGGTGGGGGAGTACTGAACAAATTTTTATATGGTGAGGCTTGCAGAGAGGTCCAATCCCTTACCATATTAAATAGCATTTTTGACCCCTTCATATACATTCTATAATGGATGAATGGTGCCCCCTTCACCAACCTAGGTTACAGCTTTGCCTTCCTTAGCTTTCAACTGCTGTAAATTCACTTTCATGACATTAAAATCTGAGGAAATCACAAACCAAAATGTTTTTGCAACTTTTTACAGACTGAAATGTCAGATTTCCCTAATCCTTTCATGATGAGATTACCCCCCTTTCAAATGCCTGAAGCCTGAGAAGGTTCCCCTTTCAGGTGGAGCCTCCCCATATAGGCCATTATTGGGAGAAACCTACCAGATGACAGAACATAGAATCAAAATGTTTCTGTTTGGTTCTAAAGCCACAAATGTCTCTTTTGTTTAAAATAAAAAATAATAATTTTAGGGGGGGGGAAACTAGATTGTGGGAATCATGTTAGAAGTTTGCATGAGGCAGAAGAATAGTCACATCAGCCTAAATTCTCTACACCTTGTGATTATTTTTAATAGAATAGTTCTTCTACTTTTTATATTTCATAATGCTCAGCACTTATTATGATTCTGACTCCATGTGGCTCTGCCTCTAGTGGAAATCATAATTTGAAATTACAATATGCCTTGTTTTGTCTGAGAGCTAGAGTATAGCAGCCTACTAGCTTGTAAGCTAATTTTTTAAAAAATAATTTCTTGATTTCAGCTTCCTTTCTGAACGAGAAACTGCAGATAGAAATTATGCCCTGGGCTATTACATGAATGCTCATAAGGTGAAATTTAAAGATTTTAATACAAATGTACAATTCCTTTATTATTCATTAAAGTTACAATTATTATTGCAAATTAAATCAGTGGGTAGTGTGTGATCCATATGCATTCCTCTGTAAACCCCGATGCGAGGCAACAAGGTTGAACAGTAGAATAAAGTCTTGATACAAACACCTGCTCCAGGTCATTATTGATAAATATGATACAGTCTAATTACTCATTTGTTTAATTTCACCAAAAGTATGATCAAATACAATGGCATGTAATTGTGTTATCGATCTGTAATGACTTTCAAATCTGCAGTACTCGTCACAAATCTTGAAACACTTGTGTGATTTTCCCCTTCCCCAATGTTGATTAGGGTATTACAGTCGTCTCACTGCTCCAAAATACGTGTGGCTCAACATTGGGGAAGGAGAGGGGCAAATTAAAGTGAGAATGAAGGTGTCAGGAGTGAATGTAAGAAATTTGGACAAAATTCAAGACAAATGGCTCCTGTTTCAACGATTTGTGACAAGTATTGTGGCTTGCCTTGAGCTCGCCATCATAAATGCCAACATCTTCCTTGTATTTAAATTATAAGTTTGTACTGTACTTGCATATAGCCTTTTTGCAGTTCAGTGTACTGAAAAGCTCAACCATAAGGCACTTAAAGTTTTGCAGTTGATATGTAATATAATACACTATTTTATTCTGTTCATCCTTATAACAGGCTTTTCCACCAAACACAAATCTGAAGGACACTTTTGAACTTTACTTTCACGTGAGTCATTACATTTTGATGTCAAAAATTCATTGAAATTAACTAGTTACATGTTAACTATTATGATATTTATTTACTACTTTAATTTGAGTGGAGATGTGTCCCAAAAGAGGGTATCTAACAGCCAGGGCTTGAGTGTTTTTACATTTTTAGCCTGTATCAGGTTCTCAGTGATAAGAAGGTTATTTAAAGGGCCATTCATTCATGATCTGTCTCCTGCTTCCAGGGGGTGGAGGTGGGGTGAGGTATATACATGTACTTTACGAATTTTTGGTGAGGATAGGCTACTAGTACCCCACAAACTTCCTATACCATACCTAGTTCAGCTGAATTTTGCTACCCTATAAAACTAAATTCTTCAAATCCTATGCACCCTCTTTGCAGTTTCAGAAACCACTGAGCTCAACACTTTCTTGCTACATACTGTATAAACCAACGAGTTGGAGTTGCACTTTCAGTTTGTAAATTTAAATTTGCCAATATCATTTTTTGAGTGTCAGTCCCTGGTTTCTCTGGCTAGTCTTGGCTAAAATATTCAACCATCAATTTTGTTGTTTGTTTCCTAGAAAATGATACCCTTATTCTAGACCCAGGCTCTCTGATTTCTGAACCCTATCTTAGACTAAACTGTTTGAAAACCATACCCTTCACTGTGTTACATAACTATTTAGCCTTATACAATGTAAGGGCTGAGTTTTTCACTAAAGTATGTCATATCCTACTTTTTAGACCTGTTCAATAGAGACAAACTGTGATGCTGGGAGTGTTATGGCTGCAACTTTGGCAAATGGAGGAATTTGTCCACTGACTGGTCAAAAGGTCACCCCATAATAATGGCAACAATATTATATTAATTTTATAATTTATTTCATGACTGGTTACGTTTGCCTAAAGCAAGTCACCTCAGATCAATATTCTACTGAAAAAAAAAATCAAAGGAAGTTGCAAATTTTGCTGCTTGCAATTTCTTAAAGAATCACTGATCATTTGACATGCTAATTAAAAGTATTCCATATACTAGGGTGTAAAATAAACATGAATGACGGTTCCAACAGTTACTGTTTTTCACAACTTTTCTTGAGTGATCATGCATTAGTGAATAGCTCAGTGATGTCACGAGCATGAACAAAATGCTATGGTGTTTATACCATTCAAATAATACCACCAGCAGAACTTTTGCATAGTAAATATTAAATTCTAACGATTTTACAAAAATATTTTAAATTTTTGTTACTAGTCTTTTACTTTGGCAACTATTGGGAATGAAAAGGTGACAAATTACTTTGTCTTTTATAACTTTTCAGGTGTTCAGTTCAAGAACTGTTCAACACACTTTGTCTTTAATGCATTCTTGTGGAATGTATGATTACTCAGGACAGTTTGCTTTTCACGTAAGGATATCATCATCATCATTATTGTTGCTATTGTTGTTGTTATTGNCAACTTTGGCAAATGGAGGAATTTGTCCACTGACTGGTCAAAAGGTCACCCCATAATAATGGCAACAATATTATATTAATTTTATAATTTATTTCATGACTGGTTACGTTTGCCTAAAGCAAGTCACCTCAGATCAATATTCTACTGAAAAAAAAAATCAAAGGAAGTTGCAAATTTTGCTGCTTGCAATTTCTTAAAGAATCACTGATCATTTGACATGCTAATTAAAAGTATTCCATATACTAGGGTGTAAAATAAACATGAATGACGGTTCCAACAGTTACTGTTTTTCACAACTTTTCTTGAGTGATCATGCATTAGTGAATAGCTCAGTGATGTCACGAGCATGAACAAAATGCTATGGTGTTTATACCATTCAAATAATACCACCAGCAGAACTTTTGCATAGTAAATATTAAATTCTAACAATTTTACAAAAGTATTTTAAATTTTTGTTACTAGTCTTTTACTTTGGCAACTATTGGGAATGAAAAGGTGACAAATTACTTTGTCTTTTATAACTTTTCAGGTGTTCAGTTCAAGAACTGTTCAACACACTTTGTCTTTAATGCATTCTTGTGGAATGTATGATTACTCAGGACAGTTTGCTTTTCACGTAAGGATATCATCATCATCATTATTGTTGCTATTGTTGTTGTTATTGTTATATTTCTCCAACTAATCTTCCTACATTTCTTAATTTGTTAAAATATCAATTGGAAGCATTTTTTTCCTTTGCTTCTATTTTACTAATTTTCACAATCTTGTTATGTATTGATATTGTGAGAGAAAAAAATGATGTTGGACGTTCTTTGCACCATGCAAACAGTAGCTTATTAACACTTCATTAACCCTTTACACCCCAGCAGTGTATCTCCAGACCAATCTCTATACAATTCCGTAAAGAGTTAGGTTTGAGACTTTTTTTTAAAGATCAAATCATTTTCCCCTCTGATGATCATTTTGTTAATTCTCATAACCATTAATATTTCTTTTAATTCAGTAAAGGAGAAAATCGATTGCGGACACTCTTAAGACTTTTAGACAGGGTTAATTGAAAGGGGCTGTGTCACGAGGAAATTGCTGTTTTGCAGGTCAATTTTGTGCTAAGGTCATTACCATAATGCCTTTACCCATTCACAAAATTCTCCTGTAGAGTTTGTTATGAAGAGGATATCAAAGAAATCTCATCAGGGAGCACTATCCTTAATAAATTTTGGTGACGTGTTGGCCCAATTTTTTCAGGCTTCAATCCATGTCTATCCTTGCCATTATTATCATTACCTATCCTTGATATAAAATTCCCTGTTCGGCTATTTTATAAACTCATAAATAATATCACAAACCCAGAGAGCTTGAATGAGTTAATCTCATTATGAGAAACAACATATGCCTTGAGAGGAAAGGACATTTTAAAAGTGCCAAAGGTTAACATAACATGCTTTGGGCTCAATTCCTGGCGGTATCAGGTGCCCAAGATCTGGAACAGCTTGCCTGATGTCGTAAGAGCATCGTCTGATTTTAAAACGTTCAAAAAACTGTTAGAAAATGAGTCATTATTTTAGTATCGATGAATCACCTTTTTAATAAATTTTGTATATAATTTTCTTAATAATATTAAATATTTTAAATTGTACATAGTTTTTCAGTATTGTTTTAATCATTTTTCAAGGAACTATTATGTTTCATTTACAGTGGTATACCTGTGAATTAGTTGGTGAAGTTTTCTCTTTTAACCAACCCACATAGCTAAGAGTATGTGCCACTTAAAGTAAAGCATCTTATCTTATCTTATCATTTGTAGAAACAGATCGACAGGAAACAGTTTTAATACCCAAATGTAGCCTCACACACTGAACCAGGACCATTTTTGGGGGGGAATTGAATTGATGTAAAGACATTTTTAGCTTTTTTAAAAAAATAGTGACTAGCATGACAAAGCCTCTTTAAGACCTTATATTCAACATACACTAAGCTGCTGGTACTAATTCTTTGTACTCATCCAGGTGGGCTTACCAGCCAAATCAGGAGTGAGCGGTGCAATTTTGATTGTTGTCCCCAAAGTGTGTGGCATGATGATCTGGTCACCTCCACTTGATCCACTGGGTAACAGTGTCAGAGGAATGCAATTTTGTAAGGTAAATGCCGCCTAGTATTTAAATTGCCTGTGGGGGGAAATCTCTATTCCTCATAAGCTTTGCTTCTCAGAGATTTCCCCACCACAGTCACTCCTTCCAAGTTGTGTGCTAATTTTAAATTTAATATTAATTAACTATTTATTATCTTTTCTATTTTACTTGTAATTTATTCTGTGTGGCAGTATAATAAAATAAAATAAAATAAGGCAATTTAAAAAAAATGGTTTGTATTTCATGACGAAATACAAATAATGAATCAATTTAATTATATATTTATGTTTAATCTTGGGTTTAAATCTAACAAAACATGGCCAATTATTTTCTTGCCTAAAACCAATTAAATGTATTGTTGACATCTTTGACAGGAACTTGTAAAGGTGTTTAATTTTCACAAATATGATTTGAAGGGTGCTATATCAGGTAGAAAAATTGATCCTCGCTGGAAACGTGCAGAGGTCCAGGTGAGAGTAAATACTTATTGATGTTTTATAGTTTCAGGTGGTTCCATTTCTTTTATATTCATCACTTTGTTTCTGTCACATTCAAATAAGCTCTTTGTGCTCTTATAATAGATATTTAATTATTATCAACATAGATAAATATAAGACATATTAGAGTCTACAATTTATAAAAGCATTTGGTACAACATTTTTTTACAAGGGAGAAAAAGTTGTTTCCCTGTTCTTTGCGGCAAGCAATGGAGATGTGACAGCTTTAAGAAGGTGTGTATATTAAATTTGCAACTGCAAATTATTTAGAATGATTTATGCATAATCATCTATAATGTATATTTCTAAGTTCAGGTACATGAGCTCATTGTTTAGTAAGATCCATAACTATTAATTGTAATATTATCCCGCTAGCAATGCAAGCTCAAGTTCATGGCCAAGCTTGGGATCCTTAACAAACTTGTTTAATTCGCAGTTGTGGCCTCATCGCAAGCAGAGTATAGTGATCAAAATTAGTTTTTCCTTAACTTTTGTATAGTTTGTCTTTGTGTCAACATTGATTTTTTGGTGGACACTTGACTCTCACTAATACTTGCGCTAACCTCATTCCCAGAGTTCTCTCCTACCCGCCCTACGGAGCTCCGTAGGGCGGGTAGGAGAGAACCCTGGGAATGAGGTTGTGCTTGCACTTCGGCTTGCATTATATTTATAATATATATTATCAAACCTTCCAATATTTCAGGTATTATTTATCTGGTAAGGACATGACACAACAGAATTATGATGGACGGACAGCTTTACATGTTGCAGCAGCTCAAGGTAAGAAAACTTTCTAAGGTTTAAAGGGTTGGAAATTTGAAAAGTAGTTTGAGATTAGACATTAACATTGTGAGAGACATTTTTCTTGTGTTGATCAGTTGTCAATCTCCTTTGTTTTTCTACCAATATTGAAAGCAGAAGAGACTAAAAATTCTGAAACAAGCCTGCAACAGCCCTAGCATACACTGTAGACAAAACTAAACCTCTACCTGATAAAGTCCACCTGAGAACCTGTGCCAAAAACCTTCTTCTGTTTTCCAACGTGTGTGCCAGTCATTGTTAATTTGCCAATTAAATTGGGGGAAAATTGAGACATGTTTTTGTTAATTTGTTTAGTCCGTTAGAGCCCAGAACAAGGATCCCTAACCTGAACTGGGCATTGACCTTTTTTAGCTTAATTGAGAGTGATTTCTTTCAAAATGTGAGATCAAGCAATTATTTATTTAGCCACTTTTGAAAAAGGATCTACGTGTATGAACATGATAAACTTAATCTATAAATATTAGGGAAAATCTCAATGACAAAACTCAGAACAGACAAGATCAACTGGAGAGCTGATATAAAACTAACTAACTAAATAAAAATAACTAAATGATTAATAATTAAATGACCTGTAATTGACCAGCTGACTTCAGGCTTACACACAAAAGTTGAGGGCTGTCACTAAGATTTCAAGTTCCCGCATAAATATAACATGAAGGCAGGGAATCAAACAGCTAGGGATTTCTTTTGTTGAAAGTAGCTGGGGGCCACACATTCTTAGTAGCCAGGGAAAGGCCCCCACCTCTTAATGACAGCCCTGAAAGTTACTTCCTCAGTCCCCTTCCCCTTTGTTAACCTGCCTGTTCATCTATTTGTGTTTGGTTCAAATGTCACTCACTGCACATTGATAATATTAAAGAATAAGTAATCTATTTATTTTAAAAAAATTGTCCGTGATGAAATCACATCTTGAAAAATTAAAATTCCTAAAGGCTCTGTTAATAATGATTCATGTTCCTTCCTGGCTTAACACCATCACTATCACCAACAAGAAATACATGTCACTGTATCCTCTTATAGCTGTAGGTTTTGTATTTTAGCTGCTTTTACATGTTATATTTTGATCTATCTCCTTTTGGGCTACAAGGTCATGACAGAGTGGTCAGATTTCTGCTTGAGCAGTGCAATGTTCCAGTTGATCCAAAAGACAGGTAACTGTAATGTTTGTAAACTAAATTCTTTTTAGGTTAGTCCATTCTTGGCCAATATTAAGGATTGCATACATTGTAAAACAGCAATAATATTATGATTCATTCAAAATATTTCTCTGTTTCTGTTGGCCTAAATTGTCATAACCACAGCAACCTTTGACCAAATTTGAAAGATTGATGAGTCACTTTTACCATTCATTGTTAAGAAAAAGGGACAGCAGAGTGCTCGGTTAGCCCAGCTGTGTTAGCTGGAGAAAATGGCAGAAAATTTCACACTTTGTTTGAAGCAGTAGTGGCTGTTGTGAATTAAATCGGTTGCCAATTGCAGTGTGTACTCTAAGTGTCCCCTTTACAGAATTTCTCATTGTGATATTTGACTTTTCTTTACACTGAATTAATCTATATATTTAAATGCTTGTAACCCATGTTAAAGAGAAAATGGAGCAACCCAATTTCAATGCATCAGTAAAGTTGAATTGTTAGAAAACTTAGTAATGAGTTCACCAGAGCCGTGAACTGACGACAGTAATACCCAAACCATAGCCTAAAACTATTAATAGCAGAACTGTAATAGCTGAACAGCATTAATACCACTTAACGGATTACAACTGCGATTTGAAAACAAACCTTGTTATGCTGAATTTGCCAAGTTGTAATGATGGGAACTTTATGTCAATCAATGTATTAATATGTTTCAGTGAAGATGGAAATATTTTGAATGAATTATTAAACAATATTAATTTTAGATTTGGCTTTCATATGAAATAAGTAATTTATAGTTTATAATGCATAGGAGATCTGCATGATTTTTATACACAATGTACTCAATGTCTTCTCATTAGCTGATAAAGAGCTTACGGTTAAATTTTGGAAATCAGGACAACCTTTTGATTTGTTAGTTATCAGCTAGCACATTCATTTGAACGAGCTGGAACAGGCAGCTTGAAAAAAATTCTAAGATTTTTTTAATTACACATTAGATAAAAAGAACCCTTACACAGTATTAGGAGACTGCAGTGTCAAATAAATTTGTTTATCTGTTATCAATTAATTATTACAGATGGGGCTCCACACCACTTGATGAAGCAACAAGGTTTAATTACCAGTCCTGTGCAGACTTGATAAGACACCATCTTCAATTACAAGGAAAAGTGATTGCTTGATTGAAATATATTATCAAACCTTCCAATATTTCAGGTATTATTTATCTGGTAAGGACATGACACAACAGAATTATGATGGACGGACAGCTTTACATGTTGCAGCAGCTCAAGGTAAGAAAACTTTCTAAGGTTTAAACGGCTGGAAATTTGAAAAGTAGTTTGAGATTAGACATCAACATTGTGAGAGACATTTTTCTTGTGTTTGTCAATTGTCGAACTCCTTTGTTTTTCTACCAATATTGAAAGCAGAAGAGACTAAATATTCTGAAACAAGCCTGCAACAGCCCTAGCATACACTGCAGACAAAACTAAACCCCTATCTAGTAAAATCCATCTGAGAACCAGCACCAAAAACCTTGTTCTGTTTTCCAACTTGTGTGCCAGACATAATAGTTAATTTGCCAATCAAATTGAGGGGAAAATCGAGACATATTTTTGGTAATTTGTTTAGTTCTTTAGAGCCCAGAACAAGGATCTTGGCATTGCTTCACAATTTACTATTCCCGGGGTTACATTACATCAGCGACGTAGACTAGCAACACCCCCTGCCCCAGCCGCCATTAATGACAGCATTGACTCTCTCAAGGCTCGTGCAAATGGCACAACATTGTTGGATGTTACATGTTGCATCCGTTTGCACACCCTACTGCATGTTGTTGGAGGTTATTGCGTGTTCTTGCACAAAGTTTGAAATGAGTCAAGCGTTTAGCTTTGTGCAAATGGACACAACAACTCCCAACATATCTTGCCCCAACAATGCTGGGAGTTGTTGCGTCCATTTGCGCGTAGCTTTACAGTGTATGTCAAGTGTTTTGGGCACCATACAAATACTCCCTTAAAAGAAAATTTATTTTCACAATGATTACGCCATAGGATTTTGTCCACAGACTCAAAAATTTTACGTCTTAACAAGTGGGGCTTAATAAAGGTTGGTTAATAGTACCAGGGGTTTAGTGTGACCAGAACTGGAAGTTGACTTTTTTAAGCTTAATTGAGAGTGATTCTTTCAAAATGGCAAGATCAAGCAATTTATTTAGCCACTTTTGAAAAAAGATCTACATGTATGAATTAGTAGCCGAGGAAAAGGCCCTCGCCTCTTAATGACAGCCCTGAAAGTTACTTCCTCAGTCCCCTTTCCCTTTGTTAACCTGCCTGTTCATCTATTTGTGTTTGCTTTGTCACTCACTGTACATTGATGATAAAAATAAGTAATCTATTAAATTTTAGTTTAAAAAATTGTGCATGATGAAATTACATTGTGAAAAATTAAAATTCCTGAAGGCTCTGTTAATAATGATTCACGTTCCTTCCTGGCTTAACACCATCACTATCACCAACAAGATATACATGTCGCTGTATCCTGTTATAGCTATAGGTTTTGTATTTTAGCTGCTTTATATTTTGATCTATCCCCTTTTGGGCTACTAGGTCATGACAGGGTAGTCAGATTTCTGCTTGAGCAGTGCAATGTTCCAGTTGATCCAAAAGACAGGTAACTATAATGTTTGTAAACTAAATTCTCGTAGAAGGTTAGTCCATTCTTGGTCAATATTAAGAATATTTCTCTGTTTCTGTTGGCCTAAATTGTCATTTATAACCACAACGACCTTTCACCAAATTTGGAAGAAATATGAGTCACTTTTACGGTTCATTGTTAAAGAAGAGGGATAGCAGAATGCTCGGTTAGCTCAGCTGTGTTAGAGCCATTTTCGTTTGACCTTGAAATGAAAACGCGCAAACAAATAGAAACAACAAACAAACGGAAATGAAGCGATTTGATTGGTTTATTGAACGGATACAAACACGCGTGGCTTTTGGTTGGTTAAGGGAATGCTCGACTGAAAAAACTTCATGCCTGAAGAACTTTCTAGAAATCAATCTACGCTTTGCTTTGACGTCATACTGCAACACGATTGGCCAATCGAACAATGCCTTCCCCATATGAGGGTTTTCTTTGGCGGGAAAACGAAGAGTCTATGTTTTGATCTTTTCATCCATTGGCTGATGAAACAAATAACGAACACTGACCGAAACCATTTTTCAAGGTCATACGAAAATCGCTCTAGCTGGAGAAAATGGGGGAAAAGTTCACACTTTTTTTGAAGCAGTAATACCCATTATGAATTAAATCGGCTGCCAATAGCAACTTGTCCCCTAAGTGTGCCCCTTCAGAGAATTTCTCATGGCGATATTTGACTTTTCTTTTTACCGAATCAATCTATATATTTAAATGCTTGTAACCCATGTTGAAGAGAAAATGGAGCAACCCAATTTCAATGTGTCGACAAAGTTGAATTGTTAGAAAACTTAGTAATGAGTTTACCAGAGCCATGAACTGACGACAATAATACCCAAACCACAGCCTAAAACTATTAGTAGCAGAACTGTAATAACTGAACAGCAAAAATACCGCTTAACAGGTTACAACTGCGATTTGAAAACATACCTTGTCATGCTGAATTTGCCAAGTTGTGATCGATGATGATAGGAACTTTATGTCAATCAATGTATCAGTATGTTTCAGTGAAGGTGGAAATATTTTGAATGAATTATTAAACATTATTAATTTTGGATTTGGCTTTCATATGAAATAAGGAATTTATAGTTTATAATGCGTAGGAGATTTGCATGATTTTTATACACAATGTACTGAATGTCTTCTCGTTAGCTAATAAAGAGCTTACAGTTAAATTTTGGAAATCAGGACAACCTTTTGATTTGTTAGTTATCAGCTAGCACATTCATTTGAACAAGCTGGAACAAGCAGCTTGACAAAAATTCTAAGATTTTTTTAATTACACATTAGATAAAAAGAAATCTTACACAGTATTAGGAGACCGCAGTGTCAAATAAACTTGTTTATTCTGTTATCAATTAATTATTACAGATGGGGCTCCACACCACTTGATGAAGCAACAAGGTTTAATTACCAGTCCTGTGCAGACTTGATAAGACACCATCTTCAATTACAAGGAAAAGTGATTGCTTGATTGAAAAATAAATCAATATTTAAAAGTCCTAACAATAGCCTTTTAATGAAACTAGGGTGTGCCACCAGTTAATAAGGCCAAATGCATATGGTCTGTTGCCGTTGGTAGCCGCATTAACAGGGTTCCACTCAATTATTATTTTATCCCCTACAGAATACAATCTCTCTCTGTTTAAAGAAAAAGAACTATACATGGAATGCAGAATTTGTAAATATTACCAGTATTTACTATAATAGTAACAATAGCAATAAACTTTGTTCAATTGATGAAGAACGCTGTACAAAACAAGGAATGTGGAAGAAAAGAAAAAGGAAATTAAAATATCGTGTTATTCTTGCCAAGACGAAATATTTAAAGCAAAGTCTATTATTGCAAAGCATTTCTTAACGTTCTCAGTATTGAAAACTACAGGAAATTGAGATGACCCTTCTCACAAGCCTGTACATGTGAGTAGAGTCCTCTACGGTCAGCAAGGCAAATAAATGTGTGGTGTTTGTCCTTAACTGTCTTTATAACTGACAATAACAAATTATTATAGAATTCTATCGCTGAGCCAAATTATTTATGGCAGACGCTATTTACAAAGCAGTTGTTAAAGTGCACAGGAAATTGAGGTGACTCTTTTTATAAGCCTGTGAGAGTCTATCACAAGCCTGTGAGATGAGTCCTTCACTGTCAACAAGGTGGTGTTTGTCATTGAGTCATCTGTCTTTATCTTTACTGCAAAAATGAAACATTATAATATAATTTTATTTAAGTCTGTTTGATTTGCTTGCCACTGAAAAATCACAGTATTTTGCTGAACCTCATCCAACAATTGTCAAATACAGTAGAACCCCAGTTTAGTAAGTCGAACTCTACAGGGAAACAAATAACAGTTCGAGTTAGCAGGTGTTCGAGTTATTGGGGTTGATTGAAAAATTCAATTTGCCCTGTTAAAAAATGATAGTTTGGATTTCTCAGCACTTCAGTGTCTGGTACAGTGCAAATTTGACTTCTTTCATCAGAAATGGAAACATGACTAGAACATGTTTTATGATAAAACATGATCTGTTCGTTTCACCAATTAAAATCAAATTGCTTTAGTCCTGCTTTATTGTTAGTTATAGTCTTTTTACTGTTATACATCAAGAATAGCCAATGGGATAGCATCCGAGTGGAGTTACAAGAACCAGACTTTGAGTTATTGGGGTAACTTTTCATGTCTTTTTTAACAAGGGAAAGGAAGGTCAGTTCAATTTAATAGGGAATTTGAGTTATCTGAGTTTGAGTTAACCAAGTAAAAATGACTGTCAAGTGGGGTGAAATCCAAGGGAAATTGGACTTAGTTCGGGTTAGCAGGGGAGTTCGAGTCATTGGTATTCTAGTGTGTCAGTATTAAAGCATAATAACCTTACTTTCAGAATGCACCTTCTCCATGCCTATGGTACTAATAAGGAGAATTTGATTACTAGTCAAGAATCTTTTCACAGGAATGTCACTAAGACTTAGATTTGCCGAGTAAATACAACTAGTAGGCGGGGAATAAAACAGCTAGGGATTTTTTTTGGTTCCATTTTTCTATGAAAGTAGATGAGGGCCATCATGTTCACAGTAGTCAGGGGAAATCCCCAGCCCCCGCCTGTTAATGACAGCCCTGTTTTCACGTGCTGATCATTTCCTCTTTCTCATGTCCTCTGTGCTTGATTGAGCAGTGTTAGCATAGAAATTGAAAGTTGGTCACTCTTACAGATTATTATTAAGGGTTAACCACAGTTGTTTCAAGACAGTCCCATATTCATCTTCTGAGCAATGCTTGCAATATGCCAGTTGGAATTTTTTGTCCTTGCTGTATTCAATCCCACTCATTTGTAAGATAAATGATATAGTGCGACCAGTGCACTTAACAAAACAGATAGGCTGCTCATCCAAGTCGCCAGAAAGAAGGATAGGAACATAAAATTCTTCCCAATTATGGTACCAAACCAGTAAGGAGAATTCCAGATTGGTTTTCATGAAGTTAACAAAACACTTCACTTGGCAAATCCCTTTCTAACACTCTGTATGTTCTATCAGGATTTAACTTTCCTTCAAGATTGGCATCTGCTTCACACAATGTCACTCTCCTATTTTGTCCTAAGAAGTGTCCTGTGGTCTCTAATGCCTTCAGCTTAATCTTGACAAGATCGTTAACCTTGTAGTGACTGTAAACAAGTTAAAAGAGTTTGTTAATGATTCCCAGGTTATAAAAATATATTTTTATTACTTCTTGATAATGTAAAAAATAACAAATTTAAAAAGCAGAAAGTTTCAGAAACACTCCAGGTGGGATTGGAAACATCTAACTCTCTCCAGTCTACAAGTGAGGCCCTCTTGGGGGGGGGGGGGG